CCCAAGGAGGAAGATTTTATTTTTGTAAATAAAATATTGAAAAAAATTTAAAAGGGCACAAATAATGCCCCAAAAATTTTGGGGAACACAGTCTAGTGAGAAAGGGAACTGAAGGAAATCAGTATTAGTAGCAAAATGGTGTTGGAGAAATTGATGGGATTAAAAGCTAATAAATCAACCAGGGCCTGATAATTTACATCCTAGAGTACTTACCGAAATGGACCTAGAAACAGCGCATGCATTGGTAGTCATCTTTCAAAATTGTGTAGATTCTGGTTTTCTTAAAAATAAACAGTTCCTATTGGATAGGAGGGTAGCTAATGTAATTCCACTACTCAAGAAGGGAGGTAAAGAGAAAACAGAATTATAGACCAGTTAGCCTGACATTGGTAGTAGGGAAAATGCTTCAGTCCATTATAAAAGATTTAATAGCAAAGCATTTGCAAAACAGTGACAGGATTGGACAGAGTCCACTGGGATTTACAAAAGGGCAATAATGCTTGACCATTTTTCAGTAATGTAACTCATAGAGTTGATGAGGGAAGTCAGCGGATGTGGGTTTGCTTGCATTTTCAGAAGATTTTTGATAAGGTTCATCATGAGATTAACATGGGATTGGGGCTAGTGAACTGACACGGATTGAGAACTGGTTGGCAGACAAGTGACAATGAGGAGGAATAAACTGATCGTTTTCCAAGTGGCAGTACTGCAGGATCAGTGATTGAACTCCAGCTATTCATAATATTACATTGATTTAGATGAGGGAACTAAGTGTACATCTCCACGTTTGCTGATGACACAAAGTTGGGTGGGAGGATGAACTGTGAGGAGGATGAGGAGATGCTTTAGTGTAATTTGGACAAGTTGAGTGAGGAGATGAATGCATGGCAGATTAAGTATAATGTGAATATATGTGAGGTTAACTACTTTGATAGCAAGACCAGGCAGGCAGATTATCTTCTGAATGGTGACAGATTGGGAAAGGGGGGAGATGCATCGAGACTCGGGCGTACTTCTATACCAGTCATTGAAAGTAAGCACACAGGGGCAGCAAGTGCTGAAGAAGGCAGATGGTAAGTTGGCCTTCAAAGCGAGAGAGTTTGAGTACAAGAGCAGGGATGTCTTACAACAATTTTACATGACCTTGACGGGACCATACCTACAGTATTATGTGTATAACTGGGAGTGTAAGACTGACATAGGAAGCAAGACTGGATCAGTTAGGACTATATTCACTGGAGTTTAGAAGAATGGCAGGTGTTGATGGGGTGATGACAGATCTTATAGAAAACTGCAAAATTCCAACAGGACTGGACAGGGTAAATGCAGGAAGGATGTTGCTGATGAGCAGGAAGTCCAGACCAGGGGTCACAGTCTAAGGATAGGAGATAGGCCATTTAGGACTGAGAAGAATTTTCTTCATCTAAAAAATAGTGAGTCTGTGGAATTCTTTGCCACAAAAACTGATTGAGGCCAAAACATTGAGTTCTAAAGAAAGTGTTAGATATTGTTCTTAGGGCTAAAGGGATCAAAGGGTTTGTATAGAAAGCAGGAACAAGGTACTGAGCTGGATGCTTAGCCATGATCATTTGAATGATGGAACAGGCTTGATGGGCTGAATGGCCTACTTCTTTTATTTTCTGTGTTTACCTCACTCTGCCCAAAAGAGAAATTATAAACACTCCTGCACATACAAGCACATACAAACCTATCATGCATAAGTAGCATTACTAAAAGTAAGAAGTTCATACCTCCTGCGTCAGCTCCTAATAGAAATTTTAAAGTACAATGCCTTATTTTTAATTTTTTCAATATTTTGTTTACATAAATAAAATCTTCCTCTTGGGATATATAATTATACTTTACTGTATGACCCCAGAACTGGCATCTGGCCTTGTTTGGGTGCTCAGCTAATTCAGCAAGACTTTGCAGTTCTTTCTGTTAAGTTTTGAAAGCCACTTCATCTTTTCATGAGGCCCTACTTTAACTAACTACAATAGGGCTGACATTTTCTAAATAATATTGCTGATGAGATGCAAAGTGACACTCTGCCCAGTTTGCCTAATTACCAAACCAGAGTTCTTAAAAAAAGCCCCTGAAGCTTGACTTATAATTTTGAATTTTGCTTCAAGTCCTTTTTATGATGTTTTCAAACTCACTGCTCCCACACCATAAAAACAAACAGCAGTATGCATCACAAATATGCCTGCAAAGTGCTCCCCGTAGTACCTGTAAAACATGGCAGTGCCTGCCTTCAACTGGAGATAGCTCAATTTTATTAAGGTAGACCTTACTGAGAAGTATCAAACTTTAGAAGCATCAATAATTTTAGCCATATAGATATTTAATTAATTTTAGCATGTTCCTTGCACTTGGTGTCCCTTTGACAGTAAATAAATACTTCCCTTTTTTTGTTGATCTCCTGAAAAAATGCAACTTTAATATTAATTGATTTACAATACCAAGGCAAATAAAATCTTCAAAATGATTTTCCATCCAAAGATGAATCTTCTGTTACAACTTGGTCCCCAGTTTTTCTTCAAAACTCTGTGCTGCTAACCTTTTAAGCCCAATCAGGAGACGCATTTTCATGTATATCCATCTGTGTGGTAGAGTTGGTTGTCCAACCGTGTACAACCCAAATTCTCTCCAGCTTTGTGATTCTTGCTGTTTGGCAGCTTTTATTAGCCTAATTTATTCATAGCCACGAAGACATCCCGATCATGTGGGCTTCTGCTCCTGGTGGCATTCCGGGTCTGTGCTGTATTTCTTGACCTTGTTATGCTGTGACTTCTCTCTCTCGCTCTTGCGCTCTCTCTCTCCCTCTCTCGCAATACTAGGATTCTTTTCAATAATCTGTGATCTCTCTCTGTTTGGGGTATATTCATTCCCAGAGCCACTATCCAAGCTTACGTTGTGTTTTTTTGCCTTCCATTATTAAACTTCATGTTCTTATGGGAGAGACAATGGCCTGGTGGTAATTTCTCAACCATTAATCTCAAAACCCACTATGGCAGATGCTGGAGTTTGAATTCAATAAAAATCTAGAATTAGGAGACTAATGATGACGGTAAAACCTTTGTCAGTTGTCGAGAAAACCCACCTGGTTCATTAATATCCTTTAGGGAAGGAAGCTGTCATCCTAACCTGGCCTGGCCTACATTTGACTCCAGACCCATAGCAATGTGGTTGATACTTAACTGACTTCTGGGCAATTAGGGATGGGCAATAAATGTTGGCCTAGCCAGCAATGTCCACATCCCGTCATCAGTTGAATTTTTAAAAATCCACGGGATTGACCTTTTGCTCCTCAACCTGTATATTCAGCTAGTTATGTTTTCCTTCACTCTTTTACTAACATTAGTCACGTTCTTCATTGACTAACTCTTTCTGGTAAATATTTGAATTTGTACCTCTTGAAATGATGGCTTCATTTCAATCATCAGAACTAATTTGTCCTTCATCAGATAAATTGTCAATTGCAATATTCTAATCTTCATAGTTGTGCAAATATGGTTATGTTACTTTCTATAATTCCTTTAAAATCTGAAAATTTGTATTCCATACAGAGAAATCTCGAAGAGTGTACCCAAACTGTTTGGTTCCCATGCCAAACAATTGTCATTTTTCTGTCTTTACCAGTAACCTTTTTCCAAGCACCTCTACTCTTAAGCCTCTCAATTTTATAATAAGCCTGCCTCCCTTATTGAAACTGACCTCCAATGGCCAAGCATTGTCTTGAAGCTTGCTAAGTAATTTCTAAGGCTTTGGCTTTAATTTAAGCCTTTCCAGCTGTATGCAGTGCATTAAATTGCTCAAAATGTCTTTTGGCTAATTGTAGTCTTTTCCCAAGATGGGAGCTTATCACATATTACTGATGGAACTTTAGGATTTCAACCAAAAGCTACTCATTTGGACTATGCCCTCCAAGCAACAACAGCAAATTGTTACCATGAGCAGCCTATGTCAGCACAAATGATAATTTACAGCTTGGCTGATTCTCCCAAAATGTTATGAGGGTGAGCAGACTGGAGGGGCTCAATGACCTATTTCTCCTCATTCTGTACTTTTTTAAAATCGACAGTCATGAGGAACCGCAAGATTAGAATCAAGCCTCAAGCATATTTTGATTTTATTGTTATCTGCTTATATTACTTTAATAGAAACAATGTAGTTTTGCAGCGAAATGCAGTAGAATAACTCTTAAGTTAAAACGTTCAAAGATAGGTAAAGTCACCATAGTCCCAGAGCATCATAGGGCTGCTTTTTCATTAGAAAGAAAGGACTGGTGCTGAGTTTAACCTGAGAAAGGCAAGTTTGAGAAGGTGGAACCTGCATGGTAACCTCAGCTAGTGAGGGAAATGAACCCATGTTGATAGCAGCATTCTCCATCACAAGGCAGCTCTCCACTCAACTGTGCAGATTGTTATACTCCAAAAGATAACTATTTAAACCGAATTCAAGTGAGAGCTTCATTTCAGTTAGCCACACTCCACAATATTCACCCCAGTGATTACTGGCTCACATATTTATACAACTAGTTCAAACCCTATTGACCTTTAAGGCAGCCATCACCTATTCCCTCGTTCCATTAGGTCTCAGACATTATTTCGAACCATATAAGGTGATAAAATACACAAGGGGCCAAATGTCCTCTCTCTACTCTACAGTAGCTCTGATATTTAGTGATAGGTTTATAAAAATTGTTCATATGGTCGTATGTAGTGAAAAAGGTAACTACATTGACAAAATTTCAAGCAGAGAAATGGAAGATGCATTTTGCAAAGAAAGGAATGAGGAAAGACTATACCAACTTCACGGAATAATTTTAATGGGATAAGTTAAGAGAGACCGAGGCGTTTACATACACAAATGGTGCCAGCACAATTCAATAACGTTGTTTTAAAAGTTTATGGGATCCTTGACTTTATAAATACAGGCTTGAAATAAAAAGCAAGGAAGATATGTTAAAAATTTATAACTTGCTGGTTGAACCTCAGGTGAAATACTGTGTCTAATGTGGGCGCCATAGTTACGGAAGAATGTGAAGGCCTTTGTGACTTGACCAAAATCAATCCCTCCATCAACAAGACGAGAACAGATTATCTGGGCGTGATATTACAATTTGTGAGTACTTGCTTTACACAATTTTGCTGCCACTTTTCCTAAATTGCAACAGTCACTATCCTTCCGATGCACTGCATGTATTGTAAAGCATTTTGAAGTATCCTGAAGTGTGAAAGTTGCTGTATAAATATACTTTTTATTTAAAGGCGGTTTCAGAGAAAATTTATTATAAATGATTTCGGATATGGTGAATTCAGTTAAGTGACAGGTTAGAAGAATTAGATTGTAGCTCATAGTACAGGAGCAATGAAATCTTGCTTGAGTTGTATCAAACACTAATGAGATTCCACCTAGAGTTAGTGTGCCTGATGCCCTTACCCAAAAGAGGATATACTTAGAAGGAGTGCAGCTGAGGTTTATTACACTTATTTCTAGGATGGTTGGGACTGTTCTATGTGGAGAAATTGAGACAAGGCCTATCTTTTCTAGTGTTCAGAAGAATGGGAGGTGATCTCCCAGATACTTGCAGAATTCTTAAATGGAAAGTAGGTATAATAGGTACAAAGCAGGTATAGAAAGGTGATCTCCCATGGCTGTCAGGTCTGAAACAAGGGAAGACAGTTTCAGAAAATAAAAGGTAAACCATTAAGACTGAGATGAAAAGGAATTTCTTCATTGTGATGAACCTTTGGAATCCTCTACGGCAGAGGGCTGTGGAAGCATGTTCATTAAATGAGCTCAAGAGAGATTGATAGAGTTATAATCACAAGTAACATTGAGGGATATGGGGATCATGCGATTGAGGTAGATAATCAGCCATGATCTAGAATGGTAGAACTGGATGGCCTAATCTTTAGCAGTAGTGTTCCAATCAAGAAGATGGGAAGAAGAGTCTCCACGAGCAGGCGAATTGATAACAGACAGCACACATTTAAGTGGCAAGTGAGGTGAGATGGAGTTTTTTTTACATTATGGATTATATGGAAAAGCTCGGTTAAAGTGCAAACAGCATAAATTTCAAAAGCAAATTGAATCGGTTCCTGAAAAGAGAACTTTCAAAGAGCTGGCACAGGATTGAGGGACTGAATGGCCTCCTATGTCATTTCAATGTTGTGTCATTTGTTTATTTCATGGAACTTCCCAGTTGTTGAATATAGTTGGAAAATAAGACAAGTTGCCGAAGCTTTTTGTCTTGTACTCGTCAGGACAAATGCAAGAATGCCAAATTTCAAACTATCTCAGTAATCTCATGTAAGTCAATTCTGATTGATTGGCTAATGCATTAGGACAGAGAAAACAAAGGGAACTGCATGCTCCCCATGTTCCTGGCCCAGACCATCACGGAAGCCAATCTTTCATCCATGAACTCTATTTACACGGCCCGCTGCAGCAGAAAGGTGACCTACGTCATCAAAGATCCATTACACTCTGGTAATGATCTCCTACAACCTCTCCATCGGGCAGAAAATACAGAAGCCTGAATACACACACAAGCAGGTTCAGGAACAGCTTCTTTCTGGCCATTATCACACTGTTGAGTGAGCCGTAGCCTCAAATAATGTAACCTGCAACGTAACCTGCAATGTAACCTGTATGCCTCTAAGTCTTTTTGATCTGTACATCCTTTGCTTGCTGTGATCTGCCTGTACCCCTTGTAAACAAAGCTTTTCACTGTATTTCAGTACACATGACAATAAAATCAAAATTTAAAAAAACAGTCAAGAAACGTGCAAAACTTAAACATACTACTTTGTTTGAAGGGAACAGATCCTGCACATGAATGTATATCACTTCTACTAATCATAAATGAGCCACAATATTGACTTGTCTGATTATCTTAAATTTTTTTAGTGCAGTTAATAGCAAACTCAAGATTGTTAATCAAGTGCTGCTCCACTGCAGATTCGTATCTAACAGCTGACACTGTACTGGATTGTGTAAGCATAAGCTAGTTTTGTATTGTCTGTACCCTGCCTATCATGGATGATCAAAGAAGCAAACTATTAGATTTGGTCAACCAGTTCTAACCCTGCGTACTTCCTCGTACTGTTACAGTTGCCGTTGTGCCTGAGCTTTCCTGAATGGTACTATACCAAGAGAAGTTATTTTTGTTACCCCCTGTAGTGAGTAATAATCTGTGTTGTAAAACAAATGTAGAACACTCTTGCCTATGATGTAAAATCCTCAATGCTTTAAAGGAAAACATTTAATCATTACCTGAATTAGTACAGGACTCTTGCAATCCTAATAATTTTCTACACAATAAATACTGGTTTAGAGAGAAATTCATACCTAAATTATAAAATCTTCAGGGAAGTTTTTTAAGAAGTGTAGAAATGACGTATGAGCAGCCTGACCTTGAACGTGGCAAATTTTAATGTAAATTAACTGACATAATAGTCATAAAATTTTTGATCTTGGATTTTTTTATTTATGCAGTAAAATAACATGATTGCATTGTTTCTAGACTGCCCAAAGGAAAAATGTGGTCACCTGGCAGTCGTCACTCCAGCTGATCTGCAGAACGGTGGCTGAAGTCAGTGTACTAGAGCATCTGTAACAAAGAAAACTTCTGTGAGTAGACCTTATTTATTTTTTAACTGATGAGGAAAGAATATAAAATCAATTTATAATTGTCAGTTTTACTCGCTGGTCATCCTAGTCTTGCATCCAATTTTTAAAGGTTCAAGTACCATTGCAGGGCTTGAGTTTATAAGTTTGGCTGCAGTTACAATAGAGTGCTGAGGAAATGTTACAGCCTCGAAAGCACTGTATTTCAGATAGGATTTCGGTCTGATTACTATCGACCAGTGGAAAAACATCTTATGGTACTATTAAATAAGGGTAGAAGGGTTCTTTGTCTCCTTGCCAACCTTCAACCCACAAAATAGGCCAAAGCAGATCAACTGCTCATTATCTTAGTATGTTTGTGGCACCTTGCCACACAGAAATCAGATGTGATTATTATCTAAGACTAATTTATTAGCTGTGAATTGCTTTGGGAAGGGTGTGTGATTATATATATGCCTGCTACACTAATGCAAATATTTGTTTTTAATTAACACACATTGAACTTTCCAAGTAATTATTTTAAGGCTTCTGGACCTGTTGTACTTTTTTGCCATGCTTCTCTGTATACAGGGGCACACCTGTCATCATGCCATCATGTCCTGGCCATTCCCTTCCTGGTGTCTCATTGCCTTGATTTTCACCCTGGTTTTTCTCCCCCAGACTCCCCTCTTCCTTTATCTCATGTTTTCATCTTCCATTTTCTCGATTCTTTTCCTTTGTTCCTCTAAAGTTATCTCAATCAGGGATTGTAAGACTGTTACTACACACCTTACCAGACAGATTTTTGATGGGAAACACAGTTAACTTTCTGCATGATTGTTGTGGCACTCAGTGTTTACCTCAATCAAAAACTGAGAAATGACGGAAGGGTTATGCAGGATTTAATATACCCAGTTAATGGGCTCGTTTACTTATTTCACAAACCCTAATATCGAGGAGATTTAAACTATAATGGCTTAGTAGGTATTAACTTCAAATTAAACAACCTTTACACTCGAAGATGTCTTCCGAACGAAGTCTCCAATTATATGCATTCCACATATTTGGTTGAAAATCCCTCCCAGACCTTGCACAAACCCCATTGTTAAATATGTTGCAGTAAGTGCAGATTCCATCCCAGTTCTTTGACAGCTTGCCAAACAATTGTTGGCTTTTTGCTGAGCAAACACTGTCATAATGTTTTAATAGTGAGTATTGATGACTGCATTGGAAAGATTGTCTGGGAGACTTTGCCGGCCACTTTTGGAATGATGGGGGTGGGACAGGATTACGTTCAGTGGAGGTCCAACGATTGGTTCAGTGGTTCTTTAGCTATGTGGACATTAATTTTGGCCTTTTTTCATGATGAGGTCAGTAATCACTGCAAGCTGCTTTATATGCCAGTCTATTTGAGTTATTCACTATTCAAACAAAAATATTCAAAAATCCTTCCCAGTGGAAATGTTGGAATTGGTTCAGCAGTTCTTCGGCTGAATCTATATTGATTTATCTCTTTTTCATGACTGAGATCAGTAACTGCAGTATCCTTATTCATTTCATTGATTTCCCAATTCAAACAAAAATATTCAAAAACCTTTCTAACCCTTAATGTTGTGTGAAATGAAAGTAAATGTTAAAACTAAAAGCATAAACCGATGACAGATTAGTGCATATCAAACACTTCATAACTGCTAGCCCACAAAGCTTAGATCTGAATTGTGGTGGAATAATGGTGATTTTGTTGGCAGATTGCCAAGAAAAGTGATCACTCTTCTACTCGGTACACTTCAAAGCGATTCTTGTCTTGTTTAGTGTTTATTTAATCAAGGATGTGCTGAACTGCCAGAGGAGTGATTTTACTGTTGAGGCTGTAATGCATGGCCCCATCTGCCTACACAGATGGGCATTTTAAAAAAAATTATGCCATTATTCAGAGAAGAGCACAGGAGTTTTCCCAGTATCCTAACCAACATTTATCCCTCAACCAGCACCATTAAGCAGCTTAATTTGTTAGTTACCACATTGCTGTTTATGCAACCTGTAAAAATTGGCTACAAATCAGGAAATGATGGAAATACACAGCAGTGTATCTCGGAAAGAAACAGACTTAGTATTTCAGTATTGTAATGAATCTTCAGCAGAAGTGAGGAAATTAAAAACATAGTCAATTTTGAGCAAACCAAAAGGGGAGTAAGCTTGAGTTGCAACACCTCATCTTTTGACTCAGCATCCAGTAGTCTCCCGGACTCAGCATTGAGTTTGGCAATTTTAGTTCGTAATCTCTGACACCAATTTGTTTCCTTTTGATTTGCTATTTCAGTTTTGTCTTTTTTTTTCTCTTTATTCAACCATGTTGCATTCAGTCTGCTGCCATGTAGCCATTAACCTCTCAAGTGAGCACATCTTTCTTTACTATACCCATTACCACTCCATCTGGCTTTTAGACCATGAAACCTTTTGTCATCTAATCTTTCCTGCTCTCCACCTTATTACAGACCTTGTTATTTCCACATTCTTCCCTTTTTCATTTGTTTAAAACCTATTGCCTTTCTTTCTTTCCTCAGTTCTGATGGAAGACCAATTTGACCTGAAACCTTAACTCTGATGAGTTAATGAAACTGAGTTAATGAAATATAACTCTCAATTAACACAGAAACTTTGTTTCTCTCCACAGATGCTGTCTGATGTACTGTATACTTCCAGCATTTTCTGTTTTAATTTCAGATTTCCAGTAGTTCGCTGTAAAACATTTGTGACGTCCAGAAATTACAAACAACTTTATATGTATTACCTTTCTCTAAAACAAATTTGAATCTGTCATGGCTTATCTGTTGACAGCGACAGTGTCTGCAAATTTTCCTGCACTTCTGCTGCTGTTCCTTCTCTTCCCTCTCAGAACCATGATAAGGTTCCTTTTAATGTCGTTTTCCACCCCACTTGCCTCAATATTCAAAGCATAATTTTCCAACCTTTTTGTCACTTCCAGTGTGATGACACCATCAAACACATCTTACCATACTTTCCCTTTTCATCATTTTGCAAGGACCATTGGCTCCGTGATATTCTTTTCCACTCCTCAGCCATCTCAAACACAGTGACCGCTTCCCATGCAAGCACTACATGTAACACCTGCCCTTCAACCTCCTCACTTTCCATGCCCATACATTCTTTCCAATTGAGTGTTTCCCACTCACTACTCACTGTGTGGTCTCCTTGACATTGGAAAGTTCAAATGCAGGTTGAGTGATTCTTCAGAACGCCTCCAATCTGTCCACAGACATGACCACAAGTTTCTGGTGGCCTTTCGTTTTAATTTGTCACCTTGCTGGCCTGCTGGCATCTCTGTCCTCCGCCAAAATGTGATATGTGGGCCTATCACTTTTACCCTTTTGGCTCTGCAAGACTAAGAATCTGTCACTGAGTCTCTCCTAACTCCACCCGTCACAGACCTAGTTTTATCCTTTTCTGAAAACCTACCACATCTAACGTTTCCCAGTTCTGATGAAAGATCATTGAACTGAAATGTGAAATCTGCGGAGAGACACTTCACAGTTGCTGCCTAACCTGCTAAATATCCCAGCATTTTCTGTACTTATATCAGATTTAGAACTTTATTGTGTGAATCACTTCAAACGCCTTGTTAACGTAGCCTCGCATCTTCCTGCAGTTTAGCTGTCACTCTGATTTGACTGCGAGCACACCCATAAAATTAAAAACTCCAAATTACCTGAAAAAAAGACTATGCCATTAAATCAGTTTTTGAATACCATGTACACTGACTTGCTGAATGTGTCACTTAAAAAAAAAAATTAGGTGTTCAGAAGTACTGAACTAAATATGACAAGGTTGCTGGAGCCTAGAAGGAGTTAAGGCAAAAGCTAGTCGGTACCTCACCATTATTTTATACTGTTAAGAACAGTTAGTAGATTTTGCAACATTTGTTGATATCAGATTGGGTCCAAACAAGATCTGCCAAATTCAGCATGTTTTTTAGACTAAATATAACAAGTAGCCACCGAATTTGATTCCATTCTTACATAAGCCCAACCTCTGTGACAGAGGTAGCCAGCTGCCAACCCTCAGGGGTAAATCACAGAGCAGAGCCAGAAATTACTATTGAACTGGACAGCCATGTTCAACATGTAAGGTTATGCTATGGTGACATCATTGGTTGAATAGAGTCATAGAGATGTACAGTTTGGAAATAGACCCTTCGGTCCAACTCATCTATGCCAACCAGATACCTAAATTAATCTAGCCCCGTTTGCCATCATTTGTCTCACATCCCTCTAAACCCTTCCTATTCATATACCCATCCAGATGCCTTTTAAATGTTGTAATTGTGCCAGCCTCCTCCACCTCCTCTGGCAGTTCATTCCACATACTCACCACCCTCTGCATGAAAAAGTTGCCCCTTAGGTCCTTTTCAAATCTTTCTCCTCTCACCTTTAAACCTATGCGCTCTAGTTTTGGACTCTCCTACCTGGGGAAATTACCTGGTCTATTCATCCTATCTATGCTCCTCATGATTTTATAAACGCTCAATAAGGTCACCCCTCAGCCTCCGGTGCTCCAGGGAACATAGCCCCAGCCTATTCACCCTCTCCCAAAGCTCACATCCTCCAACCCTGGCAACATCCTTGCGAATCTTATAATCCAGAGGATAAGATAGATCTGGTCCAGAGAAAGATTTCAAGTTTCAGCCCTACAGTTCATGAAGTTTAATTTTAGTTTAGAAGTCTTGAAGTAAAATTAGCTATGAAGTTGGTTATAGGTCTGTAAAACCCAAAAGGTCCGTTAATCTCCTGAGATTAAAAGATGGGAGTCTGTACCTGGCTTGCGTTTCGTGACTATAGTCCTTACCATTGTGATTCAATCAACTGTCCTCTTCAGTGCACAATAAACTTTTGCCTTGAGAACAACACTCTTATTCGAATGTTGAAATGTTTGGAAAACCTTGCTTCAATATTTTGCTCACAATTGAAAAGGTTTACATAGTATTCCTGAAACAAAGCACAGGAAAGGCAATAAGTGCTGGCCAGCCTGCAGCACCCATGTACAATGAGTGGATTGAGAAAAGAACAAAGGTTCACAGATGGTTTAAATAAAAACCGAAAGAACTGAGGATACTGGAAATCAGAAACGGAAATTACTGGAAAAGCTCAGCAGGTCTGGCAGCATCTGTGGAGAGAAATCAGAGTTAACTTTTCGGGTCCAGTGACCCTTCCTCACAGACTGTGTTTCTTATGCTGATAGAAATCTATTCCACTTGGCATTATTTGCCTGGAACTCAATCTCTTATATCTCAAGTACAGATTTGATCTGAATGATAAAGAGAAGATGCAAATTTAAAAGAAGTGAATGTTAGAAAATATTTTCCTTAAACAGTAAATAGTAAGAGTGAGGAATCCTCCATCAAAAACCATTATAAAGTAAGTCCATCATTTATTTTTGACACCATGTTTGGTGGGGGGGCAAAGGAATAATATGAAAGGATATGGTGACAATTATGGGAGAGATTTGATCAAATGTGTCCCATACAGGGAAATAAATTGATGTAGCTTTGAAGGGGCATGACCAAATTCTGTGAAACTCTACCATTGTAAATTTAAATTGGTGCATACTTTGTCCTTGTGTATATGAGGTCATGCAATTTTCATAGCATTCCCCTTTCTGTTAGCTGGAAATTGAATCTATTCTGCGATGCCCATGTGCTCCTCTTGTGAATTAAAAATGACAGTTGCTCATATGACATTGTACAGTGAGTGTTGAGTTATTTGTAGTGTTTTCTCTCCCTGGCAGAGTTACCTCATTAGAGATTGAAGATTTTTTTCATCTCTATGGCTTGGTGCACAAAATGTTATAATTAACCAAAGATAATTGATTGCTGTTTCATTTTTTTGATTTGTAGAACTGCTACAGTTTGTAAATGTTTGTGTGAAAATGTGTTGATCATTTTGATGTGAATAGCACAAGAAAAATGCAAGTTATATTTCCAATGAAAAAAGGAAATCACTGACCCCAAAACTGGGGAAGAAAACAACAAATGCACTTAGTCATAAAGAGATAGCAAGAACTGTAGATGCTGGAGTCAGAAACAACAAAATGTGGAACTGGAGGAACACAGCAGGCCAGGCAGCATCAGAGGAACAGGAAGGCTGACACTTTGGGGTCCTGACCCGAAACGTCAGCTTTCCTGTTCCTCTGCTGCCTGGCCTCCTGTGTTCCTCCAGCTCCACACTTTGTTATCTTAGCACTTAGTCATAATGTGTCTTTTTAATTATAGTAAGAGAGTTCCTGTGTCTGTTTTAGGATTTTCTTGTGACAAAAACGTAACTGGCGTTTGTGAGAAATAATGTACAATCCTGTTACAAATATTTTGGTTTGGACAGAACATTGGCGCCAAGAAGCTTTGAAGAAAATTCACAAAATAAATTTGTTTTATGGCACACCAGTGACTATGGGTTGTTTTCTGCTTGAATGCAATGGAGTTTAATTCAAGTTTCCCAGTCTACATTTATTGAGAAGACCAGGGAGTGGTTAAGAAGTGAAATTGTCAGGAAGAACCACATTGCATCAACAAGTAGCTTGTTTAATATTTTCTTTTCTAATTCTCAACTATCCCTTTGCTGTTGTCTACGGCCCTCAGTGAACTTGTTTATTCGCTATTGTTTAAAGCCAGGAAAACCGGCTATGCTGGTTTATAAAATGGGTTTATAGCAGAGTTTATGCAAAAGAGAAGACTGGTTTCAAACCAAAGTGTCAAAGGGAAGAGGTTGGCTCGCCATTGAGTAGAAATGTGCTCGGTAGCGCATCAGAGACAGAGTTGTCTCAGAGCTGGGAATTTTAATGACGCACACTAATCAGATTGACATCAGAGTTTCGAGCCTGAACTTGCAGAATGTATGCAGCTGGTACTCGAGTTTATCAGCTGCAGCCGGCAAAATGTGCTCAGTCCAAGAAGTTGTGGCAACTATGAGTAACAGATGCAACCTTTAGACTCTTTGTCCTTCTTTGTCTTTCTCAGAATAAATATTAGTAAGGCATGTAATGTTAGGTCCAGTCATAGACTGCCAAAAGATACGTAAATAATTTACCAGTAATTTGGTTTGGCTGGGAAAGAGTTGCTGGGCTGCACCAAGTTGAGGTGGTGCTGTTTCCTTAAAATTCTGCAGTGTAAGGTAACAAATGTGCAGTTGGCATGGTGATAATCCAGCATATTAAACAAAAAAATCAATAACAAGTGTAAAAATTCAAACAGATATTGATAAGGGAAGTGAACTGGAAGAAGAGGAAATGAAAGGTGGTGGATACTATACTGCTTTCAAGTGTTTAGCTCTCCCATTGAGGCTGATTTAGCCATGCAGTCTTTGTGGTGAGAAGCAAACTCTATTTTTAAAATTTAATTTTCTGTTTGTTTTTACATTTCTAACTGATTCCTGTACATAGACCGACTGAAGATTCCCATGATTTGTGCAATGTAATATATCTCAGTGGGATAAAAGTTAGGGTTATCGTGGGGATTCCAGTGTAGGCACAGGAGATGACTTTGCCATGTAACTTGTAGCATGTAACTTGTAGTTTAGGTTTGCTGAGATGAAATTTTGAAACTATGGTGGAATAATTTGGGGTAACAGTAAATATATTCTAGGTCTCAAAGTCTGAAGTTGTGGATCTTTTCAATATGGTTCAAATCTAATAACTTGTGAGCTCTTGGCGTAGGGAAGCAGACTGGGTGAGCACATTCTTGCAAAGCATGCTTTGTGTTGCCAAGCTTCGCTAGTAGTTTGTTCTTCTTCAAATGTAACAATTTTTACAAACCCGTGTGGAACTTAAGGCTTTTCTTTGTTAAAATGAGACAGAACTACAATCTCAGCATAATCACTTAACATGGCACCACAGGAACAGAAGCACATGAACTTAGGAAGTCGGCAATACTTGCATCTGAAGAAACTTTCATGTTAAGGAAGGGGGGAGAAATGTCTCTGAACAAAATCCTAATACTCAGCACAAACCATGTTTCATTTTGGGAGATGTATTTGTTAAAAATCGATTTGTTACAGTTTAGTCAGCATATAGTATTTAACTGCTTATCTTTTGTGCTGGAGTGATGAAATTTGTGACAAGTCACTAAAGATTTTGACAGGATGGCTCGAGGGCCTTGCAGTGTCTCGTAAACAACTTGCACAGCTTGACACTGCTATGGAATTCTGATCAATCATGAACACATTGTCAAAAATCTGCTGGGTGTGTGTGTGTCTGTGTGTGTGCACACTTGGTGTTTTCATTATTGTTAATGATATCCTCCTTCGCTGATGTTGACCGATTTTACCCGATATTAATGTATCAATATGTCCATTCCTAGTTGCTTTTGACAATTCAGTGAATGGAAAAGATTAATAGGCATGTAGCTTGCTGAGGACACCTCTGTGCTTGAGGCAACTTTCAATTCCCTTTCAAATGATTCTACCAAAAACCATAATGTGTACAAGTTGTACCCCCTCCCAACATCTTCATCGACTCCAAATTCTTGAATTGCACAACTGCCAAGCACAATGCACAAAGATGAAATGTGGTCAATTTAGCTAGTTTCCTGCCCAATTTAGTTAAAAATTATTCTCACTAAATAATTGGGCTGAATGATGTGTGCTATCACAATACCCTTTCATTTTTCAAGCCTACGTTCAAGCTTAGCCCAGCATGAAGAAATGCAACATCTCTCTCAAAACCAGAATTGTACACAACAGAAGAAAGCGGTTCGGCTCAATCCACCTTTCTGGACCTTTAAAGAAAGCTTATTCTCAATCTCTAGCCTTTCCTATGCTGTTTTTCTTTTTCATTTCTTAAGTATTTATACACTTTCTTTTTCATTTTCTCTTTTGTTTAAAAGCCGCAGTAAAATCTTTATTATTCAGCATGCTTGGGGAACGGGTTGCGCTAGTTTACAGGGAGCTACAATAATCCAGACACAAGATGAGGGCTGCTGTGCCTTTGAGGGAGAGGAGTAGCAGCTGGGCAATAGAGGGCCCCAACACAGCAGGCATCACAGTGAAACAACTAAAACTGAAGACTAGGCCAATTCCACAAACTTCAGACAAAATTGAGCTGTCAGTTTCATTGCCAGTTGCTTCAAGCAGTATACCCTTGTTGAGAAACAACAGCCAACGCTGATTTCACAAATTAATAATTTCAGTATAAAGCCTAAGAGCAATTTTTTCAGAGTGACAATCCATTTAATATTAAATTTTAAGTTGTTTTTCTTATCTGGACAGTACTATCAAACAAAAATGGTTCGAGACAAAAAAACTGCAGATGCTGGAATCCAAGGCAGATAAACAGGAGGCTGGAAGAACACAGCAAGTCAGGCAGCATCTGGGGGAAAGGAGAAGTCAATGTTTCAGGTATTACTCTTCTTCAGGACTAGATGCGGGGGTAGGGCTGCAGATAAAAAGAAGTGGGGGTGTAGTGGAATAGTGCTGATCCCCCCCTCTCTTTATCTGCAGCTCACCCTATCCCCACATCTAGACCTGAAGAAGAGTGATACCCGAAATGGTGACTTATCCTTTCCTCCAGATGCTGCCTGGCTTGCTGTGTTGTTCCAGCCTTCTGTTTGTCTTATATGAAGAAAAAAATGAGCTGCAAGAAATTTCAGTTACTATAGAATCTGGTTAGTAGAGTACCTGTATCTAATGTTCATTGTATTATGGGTTTCGCTATCATTGTTTAATTATTAGGTATTTTGATGCTCTGAGAATCATGGGATCTATTTTTTGATAATCCCATCTCAGGCTTCACGCATTCAATAGTTTCACCTTAATGAAACCCTCCAATGAAAAGAGCTTCAGTATCTCATTCACGAAACATAATGAGACCGTTCAGCCCATGAAGTCTGTTCTGACTTTCCATGGGAGAATCCAGTCAACCCCATTCCTCGTCTGTCTGTCCATAGCCCAGCAAGTTTATTACCTTTTGAAATAATCAATCTTCTTTAGCTCCCACCCCTCCCTCCCCCCGCCACGCACACGCCCACGCGCACACACACGCACACACACGCACACACATCAGCAATGAGCTCCAGGCCATTATCACTCTCTGATTTAAAAAGATCGTTCCTCTCATTTCCCCACACTTCTTACCCAAAGCTTTAAATAGCAGTTCC